ATAACATTGTTATCTGGTTTGCAGTCATTGAAGGCATTCTTCTGCCGATCGCTCTCTACATAACTGACGACCCCTTTAGGGACGCCGTGAAGAGGAGTTTCCGTAGAAAAAACTACCGGTGCTCTGACATCAGTAAAAGTAAGTCTCTTATCACTTCCCTATCCATTCCTCTCCTCTCTCTTTAATCCCATCTAATTGTGACTCCAATTACTTAATTAATATGAACTCAAAAGCGTCCACAAAATGTAAGCTTATGTCTGTCTTTCCTTTTCTTGTTTTGTTGCTTTAAATGAACAAACTTTGAGTTCAAATGATTATATGATTGGAGTTGTTATCAAATTAAATATAATGAACATTAAAATAAAAAGTAAAACTAAACACAATTTAAACACAAAATAAAAAGAAAAGTTAAATAATTTTAAACTAAACACTTATATATATGTATTGTCTGTTGGGGTGAAAGCAGGCACTGAGGGTCCGTTTCCGCTATACTTCAATGACTTCGCGCTAATCGATAAGCCATACGTCGGTGCCATGAGTTCAATACCGACCGCTAAACTCAATACCTCTCCGTCGCCGTTGACTGTGGTCTCGAATTATAGGCGCTCATCGATGAGGGCTAATGAGAAACACCGGCGAACCAACGCTAATGAGCCGCTAATGCGGGCCAACGCTAACGGTCTGTCCTCGTCGTCGTCGCTGCGGAAATGCAAACCACCGAAAGGTAACGACAAATACATGTTTCTCAGCATTTATGGCGTCGACAAAGTCATACCAGTGACCAAACCGGGCGTACAATACAATACGGGCACCAGTAGTCACGTTCGCTGCGGAAATGCAAACCACCGAAAGGTAACGACAAATACATGTTTCTCAGCATTTATGGCGTCGACAAAGTCATACCAGTGACCAAACCGGGCGATGTTATGTTATGCCCGTGGTCATCAGTGCTGCCGCCGGTGAGAGACCGGTTGGGAATGCGGGTGTGGATATTTTTGTCATGTTGAGACAGCTGCAAGCGGCCGAGACTGCCGAGATAGCCGTTTGTATTGACCGCCGATTGCAATAACCCGTTGGACGACAAACACAAACAGATTGTCAGTGAGAGTAAAGTGTGGTATTCATCCAATAGTGGCAAACATTATGATTACAAACAACTCAATGCAAACATTAATCTAATGGACGGAAAGTGTCCGAAAGGTCACAACAATTATGCGAACGACGATCACATTTACGCCACTCTTTCCGAAACGTTTAGCGTTCGGTCCACTCTTCCCGACAAAAGACAATTACAGCAAAAGTTACAAAAACTAAACGACCAAACGGTCGATCAAATGGAGAGGAATGCGATCTCCAGTTTGTCTAATGAGCCAAATATGCAAAACTCGTCGCCGATATCTGCCTTCAATACGGGACCCAATTGTGCGAAGAGCTGCGGCACCGGTAGTGTCGACGGCCTGTCAATGAGTGGCGTGTCGTTCACCACATTAGCGAACGACGACTTCGAGTTCACTAAAGGCTCCGACACTCAGACCACGACTG